TTTTTTAAATGTTATTAACATAATTCACGTATCATAGAATTAAGTGGTTTGAATATATTAAAGAGTTGTGCAATCATTAGCACAAATCGATTTTAGAACATTGTCCTCATTTTTCTACTCATTGTTAATTAGTCCTCCATTCCCCACAACCTCTTCTGCCAACCCTAAGAAACTAGTAATCCAGTTACTGTCTCTCAAGATGTACTGATCCTGGATTTCACACAAAAACATACCCCAAACGAAACACCAGACCCAACAACAAATAACAGAAAAACCTCCATCCAAAAGAAAGCGGAAAACAATAAAAACTGGAACAAATTAAGAATGAGTCAAAAGGAAAACATGTAGGTTGGGCAGGAAGTTCAAAGTGAGAATCATTCACTGCGGCAGAGCTATGTCTGCAGAACTACATGTGTCTTCAAAAGCTAACAGAATAGGAAAGTAGCAGATCTGTTCTTGAGTTGTCCATTATTGGGGTAACCCTAAAACACGAGGTTTGAGTGGAGATCCCGTGACTCCCTTTAATCTGCAACAAGGGTGCTTACTTAGTGGGTTTTCTGACTCAGATCTTTCTGGTGTAGCCTCTTTAGAATGCTGGGCACCTCAAGAAGGCAAAACTCTAAGGTCCAGGTAGAACGATAGTAGGGGCCTTGGGTCACCAAGGGCTGAAAAGAGATTTGGATTAGAATGCATGATTAGCCATGCAGTACAGGGCAGATTCTGCCCCTTGAACGGCCATAAAAGCAATGTCAAGCTTTTCTCCCAAGGGCTAGCTGCTTGTAAAAGCCTTGTTCACACAACAGGAGGACACCTTCCTCTAGACAGGCTTTATCTGGTCTCCATCGGTTGCCTGCTCAGATTCTCTTCACGAGCATGTGCCCCATCACTTCCAGCAGCTTCTAAACCAGAACCATCAGGGGTCCATGCGGAGTCTGCCCCCAGTTTGCTTTCAGAGACCAGGAAGATGCAGATCTTAGATCTAGGTGAGAAGGTGCTGATGCTCTTTTTCTGGAGGCTTCTGCTATCATGCGATCTGTTTGTTAGCCAGCTTGTTGCGGTTACATGTGGTGTTAGCGTTGACTCATAGTGGCCCTGTGTTGTAGAATCATAAAGTAACAGTGCCCAGTCCTGTGCCATCCTTACAATTGTTAGGTTTGAGCCCATTGTTGCAGCTGCTGTGTCAATGGAAACTTGCTGGGAATCTTTTCCAAAGCATGAAGTCCCGCTCCAGAGACTGGTCCCTCTTGATAACACAGCCAACATGTGTATGAAGTCTCCCTCTACTGGTTTCTAAAGAGCATCTGGCCGTCCTTCCTTCCAGACAGATTTGTTTGTTCTCCCAGGAGTCTACCCTACATTCAGTATCCTGCCAACGCCACGATAGGGAGCCAGCCTGCAGGGGCTGATCCTCCAGCTCTGTGTCTCTCCGTAGGTAGTTTGGGAGCCTGTGGTGGGTGGGACTCAAGGCTCACCTAGTGACACTCAACTTCAGGTAAATCATTGGCCTCTTGCCCTCTTAAAAAGAGGCAACTAGGTTTAGATGTGTGTTTCCAGTGATTCATACAGTGGTTTTTCTCGATTTTTTTTCTTTAAGGTCACTGAGGGAAATGTGGCCAAAGTTAATAAAGGTGGATAGGTTTGGCTGGCAATGCCAGAAAGCTGTTTTGATTTCCTGACTGTGGGACCATGGTGCCTTTTTAATTTCCATTCAGAGTATGGAATCGTTTCAAATCAATGGAGAAAACTTGATTGTTGACTTCAAGAGAGACTGCTTACCAGGTTAACTGCATTCCTTAATTTATTAAATATAACTTGTCAAAGAGAATCTTTTGACCTATCCATTCAAAACATGTTAGTTTGGATGGACTAGAGAAATA